AACGTCCAGTTCCTCTGCTGCCAAACACCTGATGTCACCGAAATGTAGGTGTATTTTTACCACGTTAAGAATCCACACCAAAGGCATTTCATTCTTATCTCTGATACAAGAAAACCTGAAAGTAAAGCGGTCATAAGTAGCTACTCCTCAAGTGAATGCAAACAACACTTTGGATATATACTGTTCAAATTGTGCCGCTTTACGTATTTCTCTTAAAAATGGTACTCTGGCATTTAGTTTTATCTATATTTGCATTACACTGGTGGTAGCTGGTGATAATTTGAAGGAAGATATCGTTGGTGGTTTCGTAATGTCTACTGGATAATATCGCAGTCTAATATATTTTGCGACTGATTTATGTCCATGCCGTTATTGCTCTGGTGAAAACCTCACACGTTAATTTATGAGATCGTTTTCCATGTAAAAAGATGAGAAACTTGATTCGGATTTTCCAAAGCCCTACAACTTGATGGAACAACGCAGCACTAGTCGATTAAATCATTTATGTAGAGTAGAACCATTAAAAAATACTACACCAACGTTCTGAAGAACGATTCCGGAAAAACGGCGGTGTACAGCTTCTTGAATCATTGCTTAAAAGCCTTTCATTAGCAATGATTGCTGCAACTAAGAACACCAATGTTCGCATTGTACTAGCGGCACACAAACCCATACACTTCTGAACGTGGAAATGTTAGCGTGAGTTGCGTCAGTAGTAAACGCGTCCAAGAAATAAATCACTGCTCAGAATTTATTGAAAAGTTTTGGTATTTCTAATTTGATGGATACAATTCACTCCATAATTTACAACCGAGTTGTAGCGACAGTTTGCAGGTAAAATCATTCCGATATTATATCTGAAGTTAGTTGAACTATGTCTCAAATTTTTTTAATTTTTGCTTGGATGGGCGTTATTTTGTACTCATAAAATCCTTCCGTAAGTAGCGTTTACCATTCTTGACTTATGCAAGCTGTCTTTTGAACATGCGTGTGTAAAATGTATGCGATATGTATAGTCTCTCATTTGCTACATAATATATATTACACATTGTGTTATACCCACCTAATATACTGATACGCATTATGAGTGTAATACACTGTAGTATTATGTCATAATATGTGGCAACAAAAGGGATCACAGGCAGACCGACTTTGTTGTTTTAGGAACCCTACGTTTCCGAACAAACTCGGTAAAATGCTTTAAAACTTGGCCCACCAAATATCGCCCCAGATGATACACAAATAGATGCTTCTTTTGCCATTTTGCAGAAGCCTGAAAAGCAACCCATCATATTATCTGCATTTTTGACACTGTACGATCTGCTAGCCGTAAGCTGAGAGTCGGTATCCTGTTTTTTTGTTTGGCAGAATGACATTATACTTTCGTTAAGAAAAATATCGAGCTCTGCAATTCGTACAACATGATCATTTATTTTTGCACTCGACAGTCAATGTAAACATGCAAAGCAGTGCTGGAATTAGTAGCCAGGGGATCTTTTTCTTACTTCTTCAAAACGCGGTCCACCTACTCGTCTGTCAGGCAGGACAAAATTCATCTTGTTAATAAGAACGGAAACACAAAGCCCTAACTTTGTGGGAAAGTGAGTTAAAATAACAAAACGATTTATGTGGAGAGTTCGGGGAACATATTTGTTTTTTGGGAAATCGCACTATTCTATGTCCCAGTTTTCTAGTTGCGAAGAAGACTCTATCCACATATGAATTGACTAGGTTTACAAAAGGGAGTGTAGGTTTGACCTTATGATGAACGTATATATTGCTTTACACATATTTATAACGACATGTTGCGTAATACCTGGGATGGCGAAAAACCAGGCCATTAGTTTTACGGCTAGCTTATCGCAGAATTTCCTTTGAACCAGCTTAAAAAAATCTGTAGACTTTAGCAATGCAGAAATTGATAACTTGGTAAATTGGACAACCCTCACCGTTTGGTACTGAGCAGCTAGGCGATAGTAAATCTGCTTCACTTTTGTTGAGATTATGAATGGAATTATCTGAAAGATAACACACCGTTTTTGCGGAACAAAGAGAATGCGTAACCATGCAATTTTTGTTCGGAAAAGTTAAAAATTTTGGGTGATAGAGCAATTGCACTGATTCCATCAATAAAGTTAACCACACAAAATCAATGGGCAAGTTTTCTACATATATCTGAGAATGAAATAGAGGTAGGAATTTTCCGTTACATCAGAAGAACAAATCATCGGTTGCAATCAAATCGAAACCCAGGAAAGCATAGTGAATGAAAAAGCTTATAAGAAAGGGACCCAAATAGGATGATCTATGAAAAATATTTCATGCAAACTTGTTCAGTAAAGATTACTTGGGTGACTAGCAGTGTGCCAACGCTTACGGTTCTCTGATACTCTTAAATGATTCGTGGATTTTAATCAAGATTTCCCCCTGTAAGAGGAGTTATTCTGTTCAGAAAAGCCTAAGGAATTTGCGCAGATAATTTGCTTCTAATGAAAATCTATAGTAAATCTACGTTTCACCAATTCTCAGAGAATTTTAAACCCATGACATCCAGAATAGCAGTTGAAGACCAAACTATATACCAGAAACGGCCGTTCCTCTGTTTTTCTAGAAGTAAGACAGCATACAGCATCAAATTTCGTCACCGACGAAATCAGCATCACGTGTTCACGAGCGACTGTCTTCTCGAAGGTCGGTATCTCAGTAGGGAGCTCTCTGAATAATTTCTTTTCCCCTAACGAAGTAAAGCTTTTTATATTGTCACTGCCGAACGGTTTACGCCCTAAAAACGAACCGGCAATGTCACAGGCCTGATTTCTCCTGGCACATCTGTATGGTTCTGAGTGTTCCATGTAAGAGTAAGGGAGTTCGTCGGACTTTTCGGCATAAATCACCTTCACTTACAAGATGAAACTCAAAAAAGTTTTCTAGATTCTTTATTTTGGGTCACAATGGCCTGATTCTACCGCTGACAAAACGGCTATGTAGAAAAATCAAGGCTTGCAATGAGTTTTGAAAAAGAAAGAACACCGAGAGAAAAGTGATCCTCAATCCACCCTAGTTTAAAATACGATGCCAAACACAGTGCGTTCTTTCTATAACTAGAACACATTTCGGAAAGTTATGCGGCAACCCTGATAAGGTTTGAACATAAGTTCTTCTGGATAGGCACGATGAGAACAGTTTTAAGATTGCATTTATTCAAACACAATCAGTGTGTTTTGCATGAGTCGCGTTGGGTATATATTAGCGGAAAACTGTGTGGTTAACAGCCCCAAAGTACTCTATAAACCATCATTAGTTGTACGTCTCTGTAAATTTTCCATTTGAGCATGTGCTGTGGAAAAGTGGATGATAATGTTTAACGAGATCAATAAAGCCAGAAACCTGACGCCACACTTGAAAATACTTGAAGTCAAATCGATTCCGCTGCTTGAATCCGTTCTTTTACCCTCGTTTTGTTCAGGACTTTGACTGGACCATGAAGAGATAAAATTTGCTGTTGGAAAATTTTGACTGTTTTGCTTCACAAAACTTTCAGCTAACCTAACTTCAAGCGTTCCATCCACCCAACGTTCAGTTCTGTGGAAAACACCTAAGTTTCATCAAGCGTAAAAGTACGCATGTGTAGCGTGTATGTGTGCGCGTACGTATGTATAGTGTGACAAGTAATCAGAATTTTTGAGTGATTGGAAGCACGGAATTCTTCCAGAACTGAGAACGTTTCGCTATTCTCCCTACACACTGCTTATAAAAGCAAAAATAGCTTTTTAAAAAGACATTTTCCCATTAAACAGCAAGCTGGAATATTTGTTGGATTAAATGACCCAGAGACAACATATCCCAGTACATGCATCAAAAACAGTGCTAAAATTAAGTTTCTATTTTGGTATCTCATATAGTAACACCAACTGACTGAATAGCGTCCCAAAAACAGCATTTTTCTATATAAAACATTTAAAACATAACTTCTGAAAATTAAGAAATTGAATTCATGGGTTAGTGTCATTATGCAACACTACCAATCAAACAACAAACCGAGTTTGTTGTTACACCAAATTAACGTTCACATCAGCAAGATAATAAACTGCTCTAAAGCTGAGTTTGAGAGGATAATGCAATCAAAATGGGAAACAAGTATAGAAGCCATCTTCTTAGTTGATATTCACTTGCTTCCGTTTTAATAAAACTTCTACTCCAATAAAACTTCTACTCCAATGCTTGTAAAATGTAATGTAAAATGTAATGTAATAGGCAAACGTCATTTAGTCTACGAACTAAGTTGGAGAGCGTCGCGTTGAAGTGCACTTTCGTGAGAGCACTTTCTCTTGCACGAAGACAAATTTCTGAAGCCTCCGTTTTGCTAACATGGTAGGAAAATGTGAAATCACACAGCATAAAACGTCGATTTTCTCTGGCTAACTGATAATACACCGTCTACCGAAAGGTACGAATTCACAGATAACAGTCAACTTTTTGAAACTCCACTTAGTCTGTTAATTCAGATAATTCAGTTTTAATTGAAGGCACACGTTTGTGCTATAAATTGGAGGTATTCTCTCCTCAAGTGGTCAACAACTCAGGAGTAAGACAGCATGCGAGAAAAGTTCATCCCATGAATGACAGACTATCATATGCCAGACTGGAAAGTGGAACGGGCTTTCGTACTCCCACGTTCACTTGTTCTAACTGAAGCACGTTCTCGCATAGAGATCTGGACTGACCTTTTGAAGCATGCCGTCTACAAAATGATACGTCCTAAGATAGACAAAAAAGTATTTAAAGGAGGATTAAATAAACACTGTTAGCAGTTCATCTGAAGCCTCTTCAAATAACCTGCGCCTTAAACCTAGTAGAACCAACCCGTACTGTAAGTGTCGGTCCCTAATTCTCGAGGTCCATTATTGCCACCTTATACTAAAAAAAATGAACAGCTTTTATTCCAACAGCTCACAACTTATGCGCAACATACCAAGCCTACTCAGGTAAATTCAACTCACCTATTTTTCTTTGGTGCCATTGAATCGCCATGGTAGTACTCCGTTTCCAAACTTTGTTGTCGGTTAGTCGTCGACAATCTTGGTATCATGATGTTATGCCCCGAAGCATATGTTGTGTGGGACAATGCAGGGGATTAACACTCAACAGCATAAATGGACATGCCTGCTATGCTTAGAAGATTCCCGTTATAATCACATTGGTCACGCCTCTGACAGTGTGAGAAAAAACTGGGATTGACCCAAATACATCATCGTTATTTTTCGTCAAAATCGATACAACCGGGAAACACAATCCGAAGAGCCGGACAAACACAAGAAATTACTAAAACAGCCAATAGGAGCCCATCATTTTGCGTTGGCCAATAGGCTGTTGGCACCGTGCACTTGCGAGTGGTCACGAGACATTTCCAGTACATCAGCTGAAAACATTTTCCTATCATCAATTGACACATGTAGAAGGTAGAGGCCTTGAGATTTTTCAGTATGGCTGGAGTCCTTGGGCTCGACGTATCTCTTGAGCCATTTTTAGACCAAAAGCTTATATATGGGGTAGAATCAACAGAAAATGTGAAACGTTCTCCCAATTAAACGTTACAAAAAATTCATGGAATTGACGTCAAATTTTATATTACTACATGTTTACATATGTTTGAGGACATGAAAGCCATAGACTACTTTTGACAGTGAAAAACTCAGACTCTAAGAATGTGACATTTGTGGACATTCATGTTGAACAGGACCAAGTTAGACATAGTTAATTAGACAGAATAAACTCTATTGCGTATGCGCTCAGCAGCTCATCTACGTAGTTCAGGGGACATCAGTTGGGTACGACATCTAAGGGAAGAGTTGTGTGAGGTCAACGAGAAGTAGAAATAAGCCACTGTCTTCCAACAGAAACCAAACCAATTTGTACACAGAACAACTGAACAGGACGCCCTTCTGCATAAAAACGCCGCTTTGTTTATCTTGAAGGACACTAACCAATGTGTATTCTGTCACCTATTACCGTAAATGTCCATTTTTAAATGCCCATACTGGCGCAGTCAGACGTGATCTCATCTTTTGGGTAGAAGCATGTCCCACTCGTCTGTAAATTTCCAGGTCGCTAATAAACCACGCCAGACAGAGGGGCGCAAAACTAGAAGTTCCGATATTAAAATAATGTATTGGCCAGGAACTGACAAATTCCACGAAAGTATCCAGAATAAATGTATTTAATCGACATCGCAAATAAAGCAGATCTAGGCAAAAGACTTCGCATTTTAGCTACACGCCCACAACTTATATGGAACGAGCCGCCCATCCCGGACGATTGGATCACAGGTGATAGGTTCTTTCAATTTAGCTTACTGTCTTCTGTTAGGAGATTTCAAGCGAACAGAAGAAAGGCAAACTCTTCCGAGTTAGTTCCATTCATTTGGTCAGATTTTGCTTACATCACTTGCAAGACACCTAGCACGACTCTAATTTTCAATCATTACTTTGTATTTTCATACTTATTACTATTCTCCGTCCAAATTTTCAGCAATAGAACATCAAGGTATGGTGTAGTTTAAACTCTACAGGCGAGGTTGCTTTCATTTTGCTCCAAGCGTAAGAAGTAATAAACACAATTAAAGTCCACTGCATCTCAAGAAACCCTAATCACTCCTATTGTTTTATATCACTCTGTGGATGTCCACAGACACCAGTTTTACGGAAGTGTTGATTGTTGTGTAAATAAACATGAACATAATCGTGGATGGAGTCAACGTTTGCAGTCAATATACCGCCACTCACTGACTTTTTATCCGATTTTAGTGAAGCGCTTGGACAACATATCCATTGATAGGCTTCGGCAGATACCAGAAAAAGATACCTGACCGCTTTGACTATTTCATACCCAAAGCCTTAGCAAGCAAAGCGTGTGTAGAGTACACGCCAAATAAATTACATAAAGCTAGCATGAACTCGGTTCAGAATGATCACGAAAAAATTGAAAATAAGAAAAAACGTACCTTTGAACATACTGACCCCGGGGTGTTTGAAAAAACAATCTTATGAACTTGAACTTACACATCCGCCTTTTAATTCTGTATACGCTATTTTATTTGTTGCTAGGTCTGACCATGAATTGAGGAGCCGGAATTTTCACTAAGTATCAGCCGTTTCAGGGCTTGTCCCCGAAAAAAGCTCATTGGCTTATATGTACTTTCGCGCCAACGTTCTAATAGAAAAACTATGTATCACAGTATATGCACAACACGGTTTGTACATAATCAGCCGGCTAGCGAAAATGCTACTTTACTTCGAATCCGATATAGCCAAAGTCTGCTACATAGTAGTATATATGGCCGGCGGTTGAGATGCCCCACAATAAAAATTTGGCTTGAGTACGTGTTTGTTCATATTCTTTGAAGTATCATTTTGCGCAAGCGCAAACGGCCCTTGCGCCGGTTCTCGGCAAAATGTAACAACCTATGCAATGGCTATTTTCGGACGGCAGAACCGGCGCATGCTCAAATCTTAGCATTTATAAGCGACTAACCAGGTAAGGATGATTATTTTGCGCACGCAACTAAATCGAAAATTCACTTTGGCCAATTTTGGCCCAACTCCTAAGTTCGTCACAATTTACTTCGCAGTTTGTGTTTATATATATATATATATAATGTATATCGAAATAAGTGTACGTCTGATCGGAAGTCGTAAGACAGGTGCCTGAGTCAGTACTCTCATTACCATAACTAGTTTACTGGTGTCGTATTTGAGAACTGGACATAGAACTGAATTATCAAATAGAGTCAATAGAAACAATATTTGGACTCATTGGAATGCAAAAGAGCGTTTTTTGCCCAGTAAGTCCGAAGGTCACACTAATTAAAACTTTGATGATGAATAAGATTTAGAGGTCAGTAATGCTCCGAGATTCAAAGTATCACTGAACCAGTAAAAGACAAATCCTTCCTAATGACTTTAGTCCTACTGTGAAAAGTTTCGTCCCATTCCATAATCTGGTCATTAACGCTGCGTTGTTGATTTTTGCAGAGTCTTGCCATAATACACTGCAGCAAATACGACTTCATTACTATTTGCCAACCAAATTCTCTTTGCCTGTCCCCAATCACCTCGAGGGAAATCAAATAAATAAACAAAATAAGTCAAAATCAACAGCTCACAAGATTTTTGAGTAAAAATGCCATTTGTTTTTTGTCTTGGCAAATGTGATTTTTATCTGATCTGTTGAATGCACATTGCAAATCTTGGGAGAATGAAGTGATCACACTTTTCAACTGCGATAAACGTGATAAAATAATACACTGATATAGGTTTTCCTCTTGTTTCCATTGATGTCCTATTCATTGACAAATAAGATGAAGAATGGGCATAAAACAGAGGGATACCTTGTAGGGCCAGTGGGCAATCATACAAGCATCAGATATCGCAAGCTGCATTTTAAAATACTCCGGTCGTATGCCTTCAAATAAAGTGTTGCTTGAAATACTGGATTATATAGGTCCTGGTAATTAAACGATTAAATATGATGTAAGTTAATCTTAAGGCCACAATTGTCAATGCAGCGTCAAACAAATGACCACACCCTTAATTCCAGTTTAATGAAGATGATCATCTATTTGTGCGCTCTGCGGGTCTCTGAAGTTAACATTTAAGTCAGAATAAATTACATAGTAACCAAGTTCGTTTGCTTTCCACAACAATTAAGTTGCGTGATCAATAGTCAACTACACGTTTTAGGAAAAACATGGTTTGCGATTGGCAACATTTTTCGGAAGTCAAAAGTGGTGAAAAACATTTATAACATTTCCCTGTTTAATGGCTCCAACTATTTCCCAGCCTACGTAAAAAGCAGGCAAAATTTCTAGGCGAAATCTTAATTAAAATTTTCCGAACCTCCCCACAATACTACTAATCTATTTGTAGCTCTGAGGAAGAATGATTTCACAAGCTTAGTAAAACCGAAAATTCCCACCAAAGGATTTTCCGCTTGCAGGATGAGTGGCGCTGTGTCCTTTCTGAGGATTTCTATTAGGTCTGAAGCAGTTGCGCAGAGCCTCTAGGCGTCCCATCACAGGCAGAATTCTCAGGTAAACACTAAACTTGCGACTTACACCAGCCAAACAAAAGACTTTGGTTAAATTATGCCACATCGGACCGGTGTATATGATTGAAGCAGGTCTTCCGCATTCAACATGGAATGTGATTCGTGTTTTGTCGTATTTATTTTTGTCTGAATTCGAAGAATTCTGCTATTAAACAAGGCTGCTAAACTTCACTGATGTGGAATGGTATATCAGAATGGCTGCCAAAATGACTTATAAATCAAAACCACCCTTAAATTTATGCTCAGTATACTTTCTGGTAGGTCACAGTGAAGATAAATAGGATGGGAAAATTCCAGCTAATAAAGCAATTGACAGGTTTTGTTGTAAATGTGGATGCCCGTATTAGTGAACCTAAAAGTAAAATAACGGATATCGCTTCTGTGGACAGGAATTTGTAGACTATGGACTATACCGCACGGCAGAAATAGTCTGAGTTCATACAAACCAGGTTTGCAATGTATCATTTTACTGAGTAAATATAAATATAATAAAAGCGATGCTTCCAACCATGTATATTTTTACCCGTCTCTAGTTCACTGTTTAAAGAAAGATCTGTATATGCTTGCAGCCGCAGCAGTTCTAGTCAAACGCTAACGCGAAAAATGTCCAAATTTGCACTAAGCTTTCTCTTGTTTATTGACGGACTGAATCGCGCCCTGCATTCGCCTGGAAGCAGTGCATAGCAAGTTATTTGACAATGCTTTAGCGATCGGTAGCTAAAATGCTTCGTCTTACGTATTTTTTATGCGAATTTTTTATGCTAGGTTTGTGCCGCGCTCCGATAGAGTGCCAGTTTATCGATGAAAGTGTTGGTTGCTTTTGTATCTGTGGGAGGCTGCCAGTCAAAATGTACTTTTTGATAAATAATAGTTTTGAAATTTACTTTGACATCATATTGACGTCGCATCACAAGCTAGAAACCTGCGGAAAAATACCGGCCTCGAGTGATTGCAGATCTATAAATTATCAAGCACTTCTTTATTGCACACTAAACATAATAACTTTCCACTTCCACAAAGGAAACTACTCACAAGGTTGCTGAAAACTCATCGACAGCCCACGATCGGTTTTGCCCTTCTTGGGGCTCAGCAGGTACACGCTGTCCCAGAGTTTCCGTCAACCTTACGTTCTACTTAAACTCAAATTGGACTATTTTT